GGGGGGGGAGTAGGGCCGTAGCAGAATAGGGAAGAACAGGGTGGACGGGGGTTGTCAGTTTTCTGGAGTATTCAGTGCGGGAGGGTGGGAGGGGGAGAAAGGGATATGGACTTTTCTCACTTCAACTGGTAGATTCGCGCGCTGGGGATTTTCTCCTTACAATGTGATCGTTGATGCCTTCAGTTGGTAGAGGGTGTCGGCCAGATGCAGCTCGTAATAATGCCTGTGTGCTGAGCTCACATCTAGCTGTTGGTAAAACTTCCAATTGATGCTGTCGGGGTCGCTGTTGCCGTTGATCCCATTACCGATCCTCTTGTGTGCTCTCCAAGATCATTCCTCCCGTATCTCAAGGCGGTCGTTGGCACGTTCACTTGGTAGAGGGCGCCGACCAGATGTAGATTGTGGAGTGCTCGTATGAAAGACGAAAACCAAGCTGCCCTTGTCGTGTTCCGTTGGAAGCCTAGGCGCGCGCACACGGGACTTCTACGTACTTACGAGGGGTTATGGCAGTCTAGCTAGGTCGCTTTTTCGCCGTCTTCTTCCTTTTCTTTTGTTTTCTTTTTCTTGCTTTTCTAAGGCAAGAACAGCTCTGTTATCACATCAAAGAAGAGTTTTCTCTGAAAAGCTCAAAACAAGACTGCTGCAATGGGATGTCTCAGTGAGAGGAGGATTGGGAGAGCTGAAGTAAGTGGAGAAGGGGTGCTTTCACAAAGAGAGCCATCATGTATTTACGGCTTGGGTTCTTAAACCATTTCTTTTATCTCGCTCTTGGCAGTCCATGCAATCGCTAGGAGATGCTGTGCTATCATTCGTGAAGACATGCGTTGCAGAAACAAGGGAATTTGCTGCTCCGGCTCTGCCTGAGGTAGGTTACAATCTTTTATTCATTTACTTATTTATTTATTTCAAGGAACGGTGGTGTCTCAAACTCTTGTCTTGATGTTTCTTCAATAGTAATGTGGAAACGAGGTCGAAGCTAGGTTACCTGGGACACCTGGCCGGGCAGCGGGGCGACTCGCCTGGGGTTCTCCTGCCTGGGTCAACCTGGATGTGGTTAAAGTCTGGGAGTTGCTTCTTCCCTCTCCTTCCCCCC